TTCCAGACCCTGGGGGGTTTGGTGAGCTCCAAAAGTATAGTAAGGGGGAGGACTGCAGTGGAGCCAGTTTGGCCAGGAAAGGCCAGTTTGGCCCAGGAAGGCCAGACCCAGTGTTGGGTGAGGAATTGACCACTGGGAAGTCCAAGACTAGAGTGAATACGGACCGACAAGCGGGGTAGCTTGGTGAAGTGTTCAAGAGCCGGCTCTAGTTCCCCCGGGAGATCGACTGGCCGATGCTCCCAGTCCAAGTGTGGGTGGCACTACCTACTTGGATACCAGGCGTGGCTCAACGGAACCTCGCTCTAAGCCCATGGCTAGAGCACCTAAAGGCGAAAGGCGGGGAGAGTACCCAGGTGGCTCGCGTAAGGCCACGGTGTTCCGAAATGTTGTCCCAAAGGCCTAGACTGTGGAAAGGAAGAGGAGCAGTCCTCTGGGGTAGTGACCAAGGACACAGTTGTGTGGTGAGGAAGTCCCAGAGGACCATGGGACTTAGTGGTCGGGCCTGTGGGCCTCGATCCAGTGGCAGTGTTGGCAAACACGGCCAGGGGCAGAAAGGGACTTGGTAGGAACTAACAAAGGGACTTTGGGGAAGGTGATTCCCCAGGTCGGTGGGCATCCTAAGGATGCTAAGGAGTGGATCTGAGATGACCACTCATGGAAGGTTTGCCTAGTCTTGGAGAGCCAAGACGGTGATGCAAATGGTATTGGACTACCAGTGTAGCAAAGGTGATTGGGCATGGCCTTAGCGTAACGGGCTGCTATGTCGGTGGTACCTTTGAGTGTCGGTCACGGGATCGGACACGTGGAGCACTTGGACCAAGTGCAAATGTTGAGTGGTAGGGATGCCATTCTCGGGGCTAGCAAGTCCCAAGTCCTGGATTGGACTTATAGAGGTTGCGAATGAGACTCCTCCAAGTGGTCAGAGGTGTGGTTAAGTGACTAAAGTAGACTGGAAAATTTAGTCGCTTACATTGTGGAGCATGGCCTGGTCACACATGGAGTTCCTCCATACACAATGGAAGGTGCAACTACCTTTGCTCAGCATTTCGATGCTTGTGTAAAGAAGCTAAAAGTGTTAGTTGGCAAAACCACACTTGTGGAGACTTTTTCTCTTGTGAATATCCATTATGTGGATCTCATTCTTAGGATGCTATGGTTGGTGAAGGTGGATCTGGAGATAAAGTGGAGTATTAAACATGTCTTGCTAGAATACGATGGCTTTAAAGATCTATGGTTTAGAGAGGGAGTTCAACCTCTAGTTGTTATGCTCTCCACTATATCTTTGAAGCAGGCTTGTCGTAATGGAAAAGCACTTTCGAGTTACTTGTTGTTTGTTCATGACTTGGGGGACCAAGGCACGTGCGGGGGAGAAGCAATAGTACAGGATGTACTTGATGAGTTTTCTGATGTTTTTTCATCTGAACTTCCTCATATGTTGCCTCCATTACGAAGTGTGAAGCATGGGATTATGTTGGAGCTGGGGACGCGGCCAATTTATTAGCGTCCATTTTGGTTAAGTTATGTGGAGGAGCAAAAAGTTCAATAACAGGTTAAGGAGTTATTTGAGTTTGGATTTATTTAGCCAAGTAAGTCTCCTTTGGTGCTCCAGTCTTGCTTATGAAGAAAAATAACAGTTCAATATGGATATGTATTGACTACCGTGCCTTGAACAAAAAGACAATGAAGGATAAGATGCCGATGCTATATGTGGATGATATCTTAGATAAACTTAGTGAAGCACGAGTGTTTACTAAAATTAATTTGAGGAGTGGATATCATCAAATTGCAATGGCTGATTCATCTATCTCCAAGATGGCATTCAACACAAACTTCAGACATTTTGAGTTTACAGTTATGATATTTGGTTTGACAAATGCATTAGCCACATTTACTCGGTTAATAGTGGAGGTATTTGGGCATTATCTTCATGAGTTTGTGGAGATTTTTTTGGACAATATTCTTGTTTTTAGCAAGAATATGGAAGAGCATAAGGTGCATTTACGCAAGGTTCTTTTGTTACTCTATGATAGCAAATTTTATGCGAAGAAGAGCAAATGTGAGTTTGCACAATTGGAGGTGGAATATTTAAGCCATATTGTGACATCTAAAGGTGTCAAGACAGATCTAAGGAAGGTGGTTATGGTGGAAAATTGGCCTACACCAACTATAGTGGCCAAGTTACGTAGTTTTCTTGGTATGGGCTAACTACTACTGAAGTTTCCAGCATAAGTTTGTGGAGGTGGCTATTCCTTTGAAATGGTTGTTTGCAAGAACATGCCTTTCAAGTGGAAGAAGCCACAAGAAGAGAGTTTTGTGGCGCTGAAACGATTGTTGAACAAGGCTCTAGTGCTTTGCATTGCTGATTCATCAAAACCTTACGAGGTGACATACAATGCAAGTGGTTATGTACTGGGAGGAGTTCTCATACAAGAGGAACAGCCTATTATATATGAGAGTCGAATTTTGAATCCCATAGAGCAATGCTATTCCACATATGAGTAAGAGTTACTTTCTATTATTCATGCTTTACAGACGTGGCAGCACTATCTTTATAGTGCAGTATTCATGGTGTTGACGAATCACAAACCACTTGTGTATCATTTTACACAAGAGTTGAACACTAGGCAAGCTCGTTTGATGGTCAAACTCATAGAGTTTGGGGAGTTTCCTATTGAGTATTGTCCGGGAAAATCAAATGTGGTGGCAGATGCTTTATCTCGTGTTCGTCAAGTGACGGCATTACAAACAAAGTTTTATCATCATTTGAGTAAAGTGGTCAGCAAGTTTGGCAGTTGGTTGAGCGTGCTCAAGCTCAAGATGTTGAGGTGGCCTCTTTGTGAGACCCAATGGAAGCCCCTTTCTCATTGGTGGATGGGATTTTCTACTACAATAGTTATGTATATTTGTCATAGGTGGATGTATTAATTACTCAAGTTTTATTCCACTATCATAACCGCCCAAGAGGCTGGTCATTTTGTGGGGAAGAAGACATATGAGTTGATTAGGCATAATTTTTATTGGAGGAATATGAAAGCTGATATTCTCAAGTATTGTAAATCATGCGAGCTCTGTCAGCAGGTTAAAGTGACATGGGAGAAGCCGAGGGGACTTTTGCAACCTTTACCTATTCTTCAAAACCATTGGTGTAATATTTCTATAGACTTCATCACTTGTTTGCTATGCAACAGAGGCAAAAGGAGCAAGTATGGGTCATCATAGATTGGTTGACAAAATATGTGCGGTTGTTGGCTCTTCAAAAGACTGTCACTGCCTCATAATTAGCTGCAGTTTATTTGGAGAAGGTTTTTCCTGATTTTAGTTTGCCAGAGGACATCATTAGTGATCAAGATTCAAAGTTCAAAATGGATTTTGGAAGAGCTTTGTGAAGGCTATGCAAGTGACTTTAAAACTCTCGAGAGAAGATCATCTTCAGAGAAATGGGCAAACCAAGTGTGTGAATCAGGTGGTGGAAGATATGCTATTTTTTAGTGTTGGTCAAAGGCAAGGACAATGGGATCTATATCCTTTGTTGGTGCAATTCGCTTATAACAATAATAAACACAGTGGAACCAAGTTAAGCCCTTATTTTGCCATGTTTGGAAGGCATCCCTGAATAGCAGTGGAGTTAGGATTGCATTTAAGTAAGGACATTCAAGATAAGCTTGATTCTGGGGCAACTAATTTGGCCATAGAACTTGATGAGATTCTAGTGGTGTGCAAGCAAAATTTACAGACAACTTAGGATAGAGTGGAGAAGTTTGCTAATAAGCATCAACAATTCTAGGAATATAAAGTGGGTGATTTCGTCTTTGTGTAAGTGATCTTTCCGTCAAGTGAGCGGCAGAACACCTTGGTGCCTTTATGGACAGGGAAGAGTGATAAACTTTCCCATCAATATGGTAGTCTATATGAAGTGCTAAAGCACATTAGTAAAGTGGCTTATCAGGTGCGGTTACCAGCTACAATGAAAATTCATCCAGGTGTACTATCTCGGAGTGACGGGCCCAATGCCTTCTTGATGTATACGGCTGTGGGAGATGAACCAAGAGCTTGAGCAGGATTCCCCAGAAAAGGTGTACAACTCGTCCTTGGGACGGCAGGGAAGAATTGTTAGGCACTAGCTTTGACCACATGGTCAACATCAGTCAAAGGGAGGCTCAAGGTATATTGACTTAACTTACCCTAGGGCTCATAGTGGAGTAACGGCATAGTGGAGCTTTTGAGGTAACTCAGGGGTGGTTGGGTGGTGAGGAATCTCAAGAAGTGGTATAGCATAGTCTAGAGCAACTAGATCTCTGTCTTTTTGCGTTACACCATAACACTACACCTAACCATACATGTGTCACATGTCACAATTTTGTCTAGTACATTTTGCAGCCTCAAGCAAGTGTTTGCAAGCAATATGAACTTGTCTAGAGCCACAACATTTACAAAAGCTAAATTTGAATTGCTGCAGCACATCAAAATAATTTCTTCTACCATTAATGGTAGTGTTGTAAACCCCTTTCAGATCTCTAATCCATGTGGCAACCACAATCGTGGGTTCAAATGGCAGCTGGTTTTGTACAAACGTTCGTGTGCTTCCAAATTAGTTAGGGCGATCAGGGAGGAGCTGGGCATTAAGACTGTAAAATTGCATGGCTTTTAAATTTCTTGCATGAACTTAAACATAGGCAGTTGGAAAACAAATTTAAAAGGAGAATGAACAAGATTTGGAGGAAGCACAGGCCAGCACTCAATCAACAATATAAATGCAAACATAGATGTTAACAAAAAGGTATGAAGGCAGGAAGAAAGGAAAGAGTTAAAGTAAAATAAAAGGAATAAGCCTATCTACAAAAACTTTAACTGGTTTTTAACATCAAACTTTGTAATATTTTTCAAGAACCAACAGGAACACAAAAAATGAGTAATTAGCATATTATATCCATACATCTAAAACTTTAATCTAAAGATAAGATTAGAGGACTCACTTTTGATTGAAGTATGGTGCGAAAAGAAAATCATATCTATATATTTTGTTAAAGAGTGCAAGCAACAGGGTTCCACCATGGCATTTTCTTCTTGCTCGTTTCTAACAAGGTGGATCAAAAGATATGCTCTCGGGAGTTCCTCGTCTGGCCGGACTTTAAAACATATCTTCATATAAAACTCCATGCTTCTTTCCTCGGCGACAACCTCCCATGGAGCTCAACTATGATCCCATCTTCCCCGACTGCCCAGTCGTTGATCACTGCCTCTCAATCTGGTCCCGGCAAGCAGCCTTCCACAGCAAGCCGGCTTTCGTGTGGATCGACGAGTCCAGCGAAGAGGAAGAGCCGGCTGTCTTGACATACGGTCTTCTGGATTCTCTCGCTGCCGCTACCTCAAGCTGGCTGATCCATGTCGAGGGTCTTAAGCGTGGCGACCGTGTAGTCTTGCTCTATCCACCAGGCCTCGATTTCATCTCTGTTATCTTCGGCTGCCAGCGAGCGGGGATCGCTGTAATCCCACTCGTGCCACCGTCGGCTTCTTCTAACAAAACCAAGAGCGGTAAGGATATCATGGAAGTCATTCTAGAGGCCTCACCAGTGGCATTTATTTCTCCGAAATCGTTGAGCGCGCAACTTGATGGATCGTCCGCAAAAGCCATCGCCGCGTACTTCAACCTGCGCTGGATAGCACTGGAGCCAGACAAGATCCACAGTGTCAGTTTGGAGTCAGTCGACGATGATTCTTACGTGAGGCTTTCCAGAGCGGAGGATTTGTTCCTGATCCAGTATACTTCCGGATCGACTGGCGCTCCAAAACCGGTGATGATCTCCGCTGGAGCGGCAGCGCACAACGCTCGAGCGGCTAGAAGAGCTTACGACCTCCAGCCGTCCAGCATCATCGTCTCGTGGCTTCCACTGTATCACGACTGTGGCCTCATGTTCATCCTTCTCACCATCACCTGCGGGGCAACAAGCTTCCTTAGCTCGCCATTTTCCTTCTCTAAAAGGCCATGGCTATGGCTGGAGATGCTCTCCAAATTCAAAGCTACCTGTACCGTGGTGCCCGCATTTGCTCTCCCTCTGGTAGAATCCAAACTCGTCCAGGATAACTCATTTCCAGATCCCAAAGCTCGGCATTTGCAACTGGATTTGTCACACCTCGAGAGCTTGATTCTCGTCAACGAGCCCATCCTGGCAGCAAGCGTGAATAGTTTCCTCAAGAGCTTCTCTAGATTCGGACTGAGAAAGGATTCCATAGCACCTTCTTACGGGCTGGCCGAGAACTCCACGTTTGTGTGCACGGCATGGAAGAAATCCGGTGACTTTCCAGTGTACCAAGACCTTCTTCCCAGCGGAAAGATCTCAAGCGCGCACGATGATCTGCAAGAGATGAATCTCAGAGTCGTGGATCCAGGGACAAGCAAAGAAGTACCTGATGGAGAGGAAGGCGAGGTGTGGATTTCCTCTCCAAGCATGGGAAGCGGCTATGTGAACGATCCAGCATTGTCATCGCAGACATTCCAGGCCAAAATCCATGGATCCAGGGCTTTCTTCCTTCGCACCGGCGACACTGGAGTCATCTCCCATGGATTCTTGTTCATCACTGGAAGAATCAAAGATCAGCTGCTGCTGGACGGAGGGAGGAGAAAGATCCATCCACAGTACCTGGAATCCACCGCATTCTCATTCTCTCCACTCCTCCGGCCTGGTTGCGCGGTCATATTCCAAGCCCGAGGTGAGAACATCGTCTTGATCGCCGAGACCGCCAGTGGATCGATCGCCACTCCAGACGCGCAGGCGATCGCGTCGAGGATCTTCGTCGAGATTCTCAGCAAGCACGAAGCCCCGGTCTGGACGATCGTGCTCGTTTCGCCGCGATCCATTCCCAAGACGACATCCGGCAAGCTGAGAAGATCCGAGGCGCGGCGGATGTACCTGAGTGGAGAGCTGCGATGGATCAAGCGCGTCTCCTTTCGGGAGCTCCTGTCGCTGGAAGAGAGCTTCCCGCCCATCGAGCTTCGTTCCTCTCTCTGAAATTAGGGTTCTTCCAGAATAATACTAGAAGACGAGCCCTAAATCGCGCAGCCATAGCTAGGGTTTCTAGCAACGCTCTTCAATGATCACGTTGCAGCGCTTTCCCGTGGCTTTGCTGATCCGTTGGGAGCGAAGAGCGATCGATCGGGAGCATTTTGAGAAGGATTTTCTGTCTAGAATCTCCTTTCAAGCTTGCTCTTGACATTTTGCCGATTTGTGGGCCGATTCCAAAGGAGGACTCGGCGATTTCCTGCTAGTGCCTCTCATTTCACCCGGCCGAGATGGAATCCTAGGCAATCCAATGTCTGCGAGCGGCGAATCCATTTTTCTCTTCTCTGTTCCTCGCTCTGGTAGGATTGCCGATAGAACAATCGTGTGAAATGATGTTTGATTTTGTTTCCCTATTGGCCTGAATCGCCAGCGTGATGGCTTGAGAAACATGGTGCCTGATCACACAAAGAGACCAGAAGAAAAAATGATTTTGATTCCTCAAAGTTCTTGCTCTCGCCCAAACAGAAAAATCTTTCGCAGCTCTGTCGATTCTTTCACACAAAAAACTTTCCAGATGGTTTGCTATTATCTGAAATCACAAAGAGCTATGAGATAACCAAAAAGAAGAAACTTCGAAACCAAAGAGATTTGGAGAACAGTGACAAATTAAAACAAAGGATGGAAGCAAAGCATCCAAGAACTTGGAGATTTGGAAGAACAGAAATCAAAACAAAGGATGGAGGCAAGCAAATCATCCACGATTTGGAAGAACAATGAAAAAAAGGAACCAAAAACGCAAGCAAAGAGAAAGAACACGAAAAAGCTTACCTTTGGAAGGATCCGTGGTAGCAGTAGCAGCAGCAGAACCAGCCGAAGGAACCAAGTTGAGCTCCTCAAATATGGCATCGATCCGCGTAGACAACGGTTCAATCTTTCTGCCCTGCTGCTTGCTCGCCTCTTGCATCACTCGCTCGCTCACTGCCCCCAGCTTCTCCCTCAGCTTCCTGTTATCCTCCCTCAGATTTTCCATCCTCTCCTCGTGCTCGCTGTCGAAAGCGTTCCTCTCGTTCTTCAAGCTCACCAGCTTGCTCGAGAAAACAATGCACATCAGCGCGATCACAGTGCTCGTCATCTCCACCTTCTTCTGCTTCAATTCCCGGACGAAGACCTGGAATGGAGTGGGACGCCGCAAAGCCTGCTCGACCTTTCCCTCCATCTCCAAGAAAGATATTTGCTTCTCTTTCTAGCTTTCCAAAAGAGAATTTTTTTCCCTCTTTTTCCTCCTGCCTGATCGATCGGCCTCGGCCTCTTTCTTCACGAATTCTTCCTCTATCTCCTAAAATACCTGGAATGTGAACGATCTCAGTAGTCGTCTTCTTCGTCCTTGCCGCGCTTCCTGTACGCCCGCTCGATTTGCTTCGCCATGACGAGGCCGACGTTGACGATCCCCTGAACGTTCGGGATGTTGTAATTCTGCGCGAGATAGATCCCAAACAGCGTCCCCAGAGTGAAAGAGAAGCCGCTCCGGATCAAGCCCATGCCCTAGCTCCCCATCGCCGCCCTAAAACTCGCCAAGGGAAAAAACAAGTAAGCACCAAACAAAAGCCAGCCGTTGGTTTTAGGGCTCTTAAACAAAGGTCCATCAAACGGCTGGCGTGTTGGCAGATTCCATCGAATCATTTTTCCATATATACAATCTCATTCTTGGCATCTCTTCCTTTTTGCTTGCTTGGTGGTGGAATGCCACAAGAAGAAATCTTCCACCAGGAATTCCACTTATTGGGCATTTGCATTTGCTGGGAACTCACTCTTACAAATCCCTGTCCAAGCTCTCTGAAAGATTTGGTCCCATCATGAGCATCAAACTTGGTGTTGTCCTCTCCAGATGCAGCAAAAGCTTTTATCTCCACTTATGACACCAATTTTGCAAAGATCGCAGTTGCCAAGCATGTTTTCTTATGGTTCCAAGGATTTGGCGTGGGCTTCATATGGTCCACACTGGAGAATGACGAGAAAGGTAGGAACCTTGGAGTTCTTTTCTACAAAGAGAGTGGAAGAATCAAGAATTCTTAGAGCTTTCCAAAGTTCCATGGCTTTCAACGAGAGATTTGAGGACTCACTGTTTGTGGAGCTGGTGAAAGAGGTAGTAGATTTTATGGGAGTCTTCGTCTTGGGCGCCTGTCCGGAGAAATCCCGTCCTTCCAGAGCTTGTCGCGGCTGGAAGTTCTTCGCTTGCCTGGTAACTCCGCCGCCGTGGATCGTGACCGGCTTTCCGGAGCTCCAGGAGCTCAACCTCGCAGAGAACGATCTGGTCCATGAAGGCGCTCCAGAGGCTCTACCTCCACTACAACAATCTCCAGGGAGCTCTTCCGCCAACCTTGGGAGGATGCTTCAACCTCTGCACCATCGACTTGAGCAGCAACAACTTCTCCGGCGCCATCCCTGACGAGATCTTCGAGCTGGAGCTGGAAAGCTTGGCTCTCGCCATGAACAAGGCCTCTCTCGTCGTCAAACTCTTCCGAGCTTGGATTTTTTTCGTATTCTTAAATACAGATTGAAATATAATTCTATGTAAGCTTTGTGAATATTCTATTTATCAAACTCTCTGGAAACATTGGGATCCAACTCAGCAAGCTTGTATTTCTGGCAGGTCTGCCAGAAATCCCTCAATATCAAGAAACACATCGTTGAATTCTTGAGGTTGCCCCCAGCAATTGGTTTGCACATCTCCACCTTGAACCCCACCAACAAACTCCTGACTAACTTGATCAGCAAACACTCCATCGCCAAGCTCGCTAGTTTGAGCAAACACTTCTTGCACACAATCACCAACAGGCCCTTGACCTAAGGCTGGTAGAAGCTCCCAACAACTGATTTGATCAAAAGTTTCATGTGAGAAAGGTTGAGCACAATCACCAACTTGCTCCCAACAAATAGTTTGATCAAAACCCTCCTCTCCTGGACCCGATGATTCGCCTATAAATTCTTCTTGGACGACTGGAGTGACCTTGTCACACGCACCCCCTCCCTCATGGCTCCTTAAAGCTTTGGATTTTCTCTTATTTCCACCCGTGGGCGATAGCGATACGTCCCTTACCTTGCCACCTTGTGTCCATTTTCCCTTGCACGACCTACAAATGTAACGCGGCTGGTCGCGCTTGCCAGTACTCTTCTCGTTGTTGTAGTAATCGAACCACGTGTTGTAAGATTGGCACCTTGGGCACTGGTACACGTTGTCCGGAAGGTCGTGGTGCTCCCACACGCCATACAAGTTTTGATCCCTCACCTCCTCGGCCGTGAGCTTGCAAGCCCTCTCGCTTCTCAGTCGACGCTTCTTTGTCAGCACCGTGATACCATCGTCTTCTCTACTTCTCTTGCTTGCTCTCGCCATAGCTCGTACGACCCTAAAGGACTTGACCTTATTTATATATATATATGCACTAAAGTAAAGGCTGGGTTAGCTTAAACAGCGTAGATTCCCACTAATCCTGTGCGGTTTAAGGTAATGTATGGCAAATGGTTTGGCTGTAAATACAATCAAGGCGCTAAAGGTTGATGATAGAAAACTGGTGAAGCTCAAGATCTATCTATAGGCATTTCCATAGGTTTCTGTGAGCTCCTTCGTCGTCGGCTTACTGGTGGACAGGAAACTATTTTGAGAAAGAGGAGAAAGAAAAAGTATATATTTTTTCTTATCTTTGCGGCTTTTCATATATTTGACATATAGATTGAAATATAATACTATGTAGGCTTCTATTCATCAAACAAATCTGGAAACCCTGGGATCCAACTATAAATTCTTGACACAAAAATTTCCATGAATCAGCAAGCCTGTATTTCTGGCAGGTCTGCCAGAAATCCCTCAATATCAAGAAACACATCGTTGAATTCTTGAGGTTGCCCCCAGCAGTTGGTTTGCACATCTCCACCTTGAACCCCACCAACAAACTCCTGACTAACTTGATCAGCAAACACTCCATCGCCAAGCTCGCTAGTTTGAGCAAACACTTCTTGCACACAATCACCAACAGGCCCTTGACCTAAGGCTGGTCAAACAAATCTGGAAACCCTGGGATCCAACTATAAATTCTTTTGACAAAAATTTCCATGAATCAGCAAGCCTGTATTTCTGGCAGGTCTGCCAGAAATCCCTCAATATCAAGAAACACATCGTTGAATTCTTGAGGTTGTCCCCAGCAATTGGTTTGCACATCTCCACCTTGAACCCCACCAACAAACTCCTGACTAACTTGATCAGCAAACACTCCATCGCCAAGCTCGCTAGCTTGAGCAAACACTTCTTGCACACAGTCACCAACAGGTCCTTGACCCAAGGCTGGCAGAAGCTCCCAACAACTGTTTTGATCAAAAGCCTCGTGAGATAAAGGTTGGGCACAATCACCCAGACCATGACCTTGCTCCCAATAAGTAGTTTGATCAAAACCCGCAACACAATCACCCATAACTTGAGATGATTCGCCTACAAATTCTTCCTGGACGACTGGAGTGATCTTGTCTCCCCCATGGCTCTTTAAAGTTCTCTTATTTCCACCAGTGGGCGATAGCGATACGTCCCTTACCTTGCCACCTTGTGTCCATTTTCCCTTGCACGACCTACAAGCGTAGCGCGGCTGGTCGCGCTTGCCAGTACTCTTCTCGTTGTTGTAGTAATCGAACCGCGTGTTGTAAGATTGGCACCTTGGGCACTGGTACACGTTGTCCGGAAGGTCGTGGTGCTCCCACACGCCGTACAAGTTTTGATCCCTCACCTCTTGGGCCGTGAGCTTGCAAGCCCTCTCGCTTCTCAGTCGACGCTTCTTTTTCAGCACCATGATACCATCGTCTTCTCTACTTCTCTTGCTTGCTCTCGCCATAGCTCGTATGACCCTAAAGGACTGGATCTTATTTATATGTGCACTAAAGTAAAGGCTGGGTTAGCTTAAACAACGTAGATTCCCACTAATCCTGTGCGGTTTAAGGTAGTCCAGAGCGCGATCAAGGCATGCGGCATCCACATCGCAGAGGGCAAGAAGGAAAGAGTCTGTCGAGAAGCCAGGTATGCATAGCGTACTGGATGACGCGACTGAGAAGAAACGCGTGATCAAGTTTGAGTCGGTGAAAATCCGAGCGGTTTTGATTCGCATGTGTGCCGAGCCCGTGCCGAGTGTGCACGCTCGCGGAGTGTTCGACAGGGCACTGGATTTTTCGACTGTGTCATGGAACAGTTTGATGCTTGGTTCTCGAGTCGAGCTGTTTCCATTCATGGAACGATCCGGGGTTTTCTCACCTTTGTGGCTGCGTTGAAAGCTTGCGCTAGTTTGGATAGGCAAACTTGTCAAACTCCGTGCTTTAGAAGATGGCATGGCTATAGCTTTGGAACTCTTCTTTCGGACGGAGCTGAAAGGAGTCACGAGTGCTCATATGGTGACTTGTGAGACAAACTCTTATTCCTGGTCTCCAGGAAATGATCGAAGA